GTTTGTCCAAAACTCTTGCTTACCACTACACCAGGATAAAATTATTTCAGAATAGACATACTTCTCTCTTACAAAGGGCCATAACTTTAAATAAATAATCCCACTGGTCTGAGCAGGCTTCCTAAGTGTTCAGATCTGTGTGTAGTGACATCTGTGTGAGGAGGATTTGTAATTAGCATCATTGATAAGTACAGCTAAAACTATTACTTGATTAACACAATGCTGCTTGAATCAGCAGATATTTGGGCTTTCAACATCTTTTTCGTCTGGAACCAAAATGTGTTGGGAAGCTGTCAGAGGAAAACTCTGCATCAGAAAAAAGTACTGTGTAGAGTAAAACATAAATCATCAGGGATGTGAAATTCTCTTAGTAAAAAATTATGCAAATCCCAAGCATTGCTTAGATTACTTACAGAGCTGCCACTCTCATTGATTAGATTAAAGCTCATTCACTTTTCATTACCTCAGTGCCAGTCTTAAAAGAAAAAGTTGTCATGTTTTAATGTCTCTATGAACTCTTCAAATATATATGTCTATGCCTTCAGTCAGATGCACTGTTTCTCTGGTTTGGATAGGCCTGTTAAATAAAAAATGGATTCAAGAACATCAGTAATGGATGACAGATTAAAATTAAAGAGAGGGCAACAGCCTTTAAAATAGTAAACACACTTTTCTTAATCTTTGAAAATGAAGAATAATTATAATGTTGAAAATTCTCTTCTCACAGTAATTTGAAAATTTTAATTACATTTGAAGATGGAAAAAGAACTCGTCACAGATACTTCAGATTAAAATACCTGGCTGGCTCCTTATCCAAGTTTACAGTTGATTTTACTGAGAACCAAAAAAAAATTCAGCTTTAGAAATCTTGGTTCTAAAACACAGGTGCTAATGCAGGACTCAAGCCTATGAATTAGTGTTTCATAGCAAACTGGATCAAATGTGGCATATAATTGTTCATTATGATCTCTTCATATTAAATTGGAGATCAAAGCTTCTAGCTGCATCCTCATGTCCCAGAGGTTATGAAATTTTACTGTCTATGAAAATATTATTCATTATTTTCTTTACAAGGGAGAACAACTGGAACACAACTTTCATACCTGCATAGTTTGTGGCTGTTTAAGTGTCACAAACTGGCAGTTTATCTTAAACTCATTTTAAGATGCTGCCACATTCATGATTACACCACATGTGTTTTGATTAATCATCTCCTTTTCATTACCCAGCATTAGCAAGAACTGACATCTTCTCTGAACCACAAAATGCTGAAGAAAAGCAATAATATATTTGTTAAATGCCTGTATTATTTAAAAAGGAGGAATGGCGTCATGGGAAGGGCAAAAGAATAATATAATTTCCAAGAATAACAGCATCTTCTGTCACTCTGTGTGTGCACAGCAAGAGGAATATGTAAGTGAAGTAACTCAAGGCTTGATAGGACTGAATTGTTTCCTTTGCTTTTAGTCCTCTGAGACAAATAGCAGGTCCTCCATCCAGTGTCTGCCAGATGCCAGGAAGAAGAGGTAATGAGCTGTGAAACAACCTGAACGTGGCTGATTTTGCGATGCCCAGTCAAAAAAGATGCACACAAGTCTTGCACTAGACAAAATCAACAGTCAAATGGCATGTGAAGAAGTATCTTCTCCATGTGTGAACTAAATCAAGGGACTCCTTCCCTGCTTGTTTCTCTGTGGAAACCCAGGGCACAGGGAATATTTCTCTGTGTCTCTGGGGTGTCCTGACCCCTGGGAGAGCATTGACTTTGACCCTCATTCATGGAGAAAACTTCCAAAGCCTCAAAGTAAACTAGAAACCACAAAAGTGTGGAATAGATTGTAAAGATTGTAGATAGTAGTATAGTATCTATTTATCATGGGTGAGAAATTTAGGTTTTAGGATTTTTAGTATGTTATAGATGGGTTCAAGATGGAGGATATAGCGTCTTGTCTTGAGTTCCTTTCTTCTCTCTTCTTCTTCTTTCTTCTTGGGTTTAGGCGGTATCTCGTAATTGGGTAGAAAAATCTGCATTGTGGGTTTTTAGGGGCCAGTTATTGGGTTAGAAAGGGAAATAATCTAGGTGTCAGCTCTTAATTGGGTAGTTTAGTTTTTGATTAGACTTAAAAAGACCTTGCAGGACAAGGGTGCTGTTTTCACACATGCAAGGTCTGCGCGTAGAGTGTGCTGAAGTTTTAATAAGATAAAATAAATAAAGAGAAGCCAAAAACTGAAAAAGTCCAATGCGTCTCTCGTTCCTGACACAAAACTGCTCCAGGAGGGACTCCCCTGCCAGGGGAGCCTCCAGGGAGTTGCCCAACTTGGGGCTTGCAAACTCACAATCCTCTGACTGTTCAGTGCCACTCAGCTAACTAAAACTTAATTTTTGATAATTGATGAAACCTAGAAATGTCGGCAACAATGGGAAAACACAGGCAGCAAGAAAGTTTTCAGTCAGAACAAGATGTAAAATAGGACACCTTAGAATTACTGTGTTTAAACTTCTGAAAATACCTATTAAGACTGGATGTGGTAATTTGCTTTCATACTTCAAACAATAAATGTAGGAATGTGCCCCTGTTGACAGAGTAAAAAAGTTACCCTTTGTCTCCTTAAAAAGAAGAAAAGCCCAGAAGTTTCTCTCAATTTGGTTAAAAGACATATCATAGGACCTTGGAGATGCACCTCAAACTTAAGGATATCTAATTGGACAGGAGCCAAAAAGTCCCGCCTAAGCAATTCCCTAGGAAAAAAAAAAAAAAAGAATGAAAGAAGTAAATTACTTTTGTGAAGTGTTTTAGCAGGAGCAAGAACCTCTTGCCCTGGCTCAGTTTTTCTCGTAAAAAGCTTTTTTTTTTGCCTTTTATTACAACTTTTTTATTTCCAACACTGTCACAGGAGCCATCCTACTACTTTTATGCCACCTGAGGTAGCTGAGCTATCAAGGATATAATGCCTGTCTCTGAGAGTTTATAAAACGTGGCTTATAAGACAGCATTAAATAAAAATGTTACCTATTAGTATAAAGTTAATGTAATTAAAAATGAAACCATATTTTTATCAAACTAAGTGATATTTAATAGTCAATCTACTCACAATACCTCTAAAAAAAAAATGGAAATTAAGGTATTAATTTTATACTGGTAAACAACAAAAAAAAAAAAGGGAAACTGTTAAAGGAGTATTTTGATTTCATATCTATTTGCCTTTGTTGACCACAAAGGTACAATGTATAAAACTATAAAACACTTGACTGTTCTTGGGAAATACAAATTATTTTAGTTCAAGGAGTACAAGATTTATATTAAATAGTATTTGAATGTTTCCTCAAGTTACAGTGATATTCATCTTTTTCTCAGTACAAAATTGATAGAAGAAGTAATCATCATTGGCATGTAATTCCTATTCCATTATTAAATGTCATTACCTACCTGGCTCTGTTGAGCCAGGTATTACCTACCTATTCTGTTAGGTAATCTACCTATTAAATCAAAACAATGAAGTGATCCTGTTTAAAAATAATTTACAAATATTTTATTTATATTAAAATCATTCATCATAAAGATTTACTTCTGTGAATGCATAGATTGTTTTTGCTAGTTAGTAATATTTCACAAATTTGCTTCCCATAATGAACCATTCTGCAACCTTTTCATTTGTGTTTGGCATAGGTCACCTAAATCAAGTCAATAGTTTCTAAATCTTATCAAGATGATTAAACTTGGAGGTAGGGACATTTTTCCGATAAATGTAGAATATTGAGTACTCCTCAGTATATATCTGCACTGCCATATGCTAAAAGCTGTTCTGATCTGTAGAAAATAACATAAATGTGCATAAAAATGAACAAGAGAGAGCTAAAGCTCTCAGATTTTCTGTCCTGGCATAATTGTGCTGTGGTTTTAAAAGCAATTATAAAGTTTCTCTAGATCAGTACTACAAACGTAATGAATACACCCACAAAATGGTTCAAAGAGAAAGAGACAGTGTAGCTGCACTCTTACTGCAATCCAACGGTTCCTTTTGAAACACTGAAAACTACAAACCTTATTTTTTTCTTACAATTCTGCATAAAATTTCCCAAAGTCTTTTAAAACTTAAAATATTAAATTGTTATTTGAATAAATTGCATAGACTTCATTTGACTTTTAATTATCTAATAAAATAACAACTAATTTATTCATAAACAGGAGGACAATTCTCCTGGTTTTAAGACAGTTTTGAAAAAGGCTTGTGGGTTTGTTTTGTTTTGTTTTAAGTACTTCTTTGTGGTGCCTTAAATTTATGGTTTGTTTTCTGACCCTTTTAACTCATGCTATTTATATTCAGCAAAAAAATATGGTTGTTTCCCATTAAATCAATAAACCCAAAGCTATTAAAATCCTCTTAGACTAGATTTCATTGCTAACAAACATTTATTGAGGAATACAACTCAGTGTGTTTGTAACATTGCACATATCCCTAAACACCATTGAGTTCAATGGGATTTATAGACACACTTCAAAATTATCACATGCCTAAGTTAGTTTGTGCATAAGGAATGTCAAATAGGAGCTTAGTTAATTCCAGAAACCTAATAACATCCAGCAGGAGAACTATCCATATTTATGATCCACCAGAGTAAATAATTATTTTCTTTGACTGTTTAAAAATATTTTTAACATTAGAACTCACATCCATACCTCAATCAAATATATCTAATATTTTAATTATTTTTCATCTAAATAGAATTTTATTAAGCAGTTAGTATTTGATCTGGTTTGTATCACTTACATGTTCTGGGTCATAATTTTCTTCATTTGTTACATGGCTGCATTTGTAATTATGTCTTGAAAATTCTTCAGCTGGGAGATAAGAATTCAGTTCCAAAACACTGCATGTCAATTCTGTCTGCACAGAAACTGGTAGTAGGCTTAATAGAGTAGGAGGTCTGCCTTAGGATTAGTCTTGCTGAAGACTAACAACGTTAAGCACTTTTTTTTTAATCAAACAAGACACCAGAGACTGTTTATTTTCATCCACAACAAGTGGATTTTTTAATAGACAGTCATCTTTCATTTAAATCAGAGTGAAGTTTTCTAGGTACTTCATTTAAAATATCCTGCACACATACCAAGCAACTCCTGAAAACATTCTCAGAGCCAGACTCATATGCTGACAGCTTTGTGACACACTTGAACAACTTCTATTTGCTAGTGCTGCCTAAAAGGGCTTGAAGAGGTTGTTTCTGAATCTTATTATGGGAGCTCAAATCTCATTATTCTCCCAGCCAAATTTAAGGTGATTTCTGAATAGAATAAAAATGACTTGCTGTTGTAATTTGCTGATATCAAAAGCTGCATTTTTTAATTCAATAACATCATCTTAGATAAGTAGACTTTAGAACAGAAAAAAAAAAAATCATGCTCCTGCATTCCATATGTATGTTGTGATGTTTACAGGGTCATTTAAAATGTGTTACTACTAGTTCAGAAAGGCTATTTCACTCTCATCTTTCAGTGTATTAGCCACTAACATTTTCCCTTTTTGATCTTTGCTCAGTAAGTAGAAAATATTCCACTGCTTCTGTTCAGTAAAATTTAAATGTATAATTTTCCTTATCTTCTTGAATTAACAACAAATTTCAATGCTTCATAAACTATGTTTAATTTCCAAAATTCCAAACTAATTTTTCAGAGTTTTTTTGCTAATATTTTATTTTAAGTCTTTCCTAGGATCAAGAAATATCTCTGAAATCTGATGATATCTTGATCTGAATCTGAATATATAAAAATATAATAAATATATAGTAAGCCTGCATCAAAAAATGCCCAGTCAATCGGAAGCGCAGGTCTAGATTCTCCTTTTATTCTCTGACATCAGAATTGGACCTTAGTAGTACATTTTCAAGAAAATATATTATTGTTTTCTAGAAAATATTGAAAAAAAATTATCCAAATCATTGCTTCATCCCATTTTCTTTTACACATGATTTTAAAGACATACTACATGTCAAAAATGTTTTACATGTTTATAAAAAAAAATCCAAAAGCAGTAGAAAGGTGTTCCTTTGTGAACCACTGAAAGTGTTTCAATTACAGTCCTAAATTTTGAATATTGGTCCTCAACTATTTCAGTTTGAAGAGGACACCTCAGGAGATCTGTGGTTCAACCTCCTGATCACAGAAATTCTGATCAAGGATGTGTACAGCAGGGCCTTGAAAACTGCTGAAGACAACTGTACAAACTCTTGGGCCAGACTGTGCCAATGCTTAGTTATCCTCAGTGGTGGTCTGGAGTTTGGATTTTTCCTTTATTTCCTTTGTTTTTAGTTCAAAAACTTATGTTTCATGAGCAAATTAAAAACTATGTAAAAATGAGCCATGGCAACCAATAGGGTGATACTGCTGCACCATCCTTGTAACTTGATACATCATTTGATACTCTTTCACATATTATGATTTATTTAGTATAGCACAGTTTCTCATCAGGGGCTCAGCCACAGGAGGTGTGCAATATTAAAGATGTCTTTTTTTTTGCGTGTTGAGAAAATTTATCTCAAAAGTCAGACCAGATATTAGTTATATGATTTTACCAGTAGATTAATATAAGGCATGTGTTACCTGAAGTTTGGTGGGTGACTGAATGTTGGGAAGCTGCAAGCAAGTTTTATATTTAATGGTTTCCAGTAATTGCACCCTACACTGATATTTGACAGTAACCAGAAATTTGTTATCATATGTCAGCATTAAATCCATGACCCCAGGACATGTATCTCTGGTACCAACCCTTTGCTATGTAAAACAAGAGAGACATAAACATTTGAACATCCTTGTTTTTGGCAATGCTTTTCTATAGGAAAACATGTAACTTTAATAGATATGGATAAGAACCTTACTGTCAACAGCCAGTATTTTAAGAATCTTCCAGTGAGGGTCCTGATGTTGGCCTGTCTTATATCATCATCATAAATGCTACTTTGGATAATATTTGATGTTTTTGCTCATTAAATATTTGCCCAGTTGATTCACATGCCAGTCTCTTCTATCCTCTTTTACAAAGTTATATAACTATAATATAGAAAGTTTAGGCTAATTTATCACACAGCAAACAGTAGCTGGTATACATCAAGTGGAGAATATTTTGCAGGTATTATAGTAAGACTCAATATTCATATATATTTACAGCAATGCATGAAAATGATCTGCATCTTTTTGCAGATTTTGTTACCTCAGCCTCTCCTAAATTCTCTTTGTCTTCTGGATACTCATTGCTAAATTTATAATGAATTGTTGCAATAGGTGTTAATCAGCTGACTAAAAGAGACTGTGAGTGATATAGCAAATAAAATTTATTTATTAGATCTTCCCTTTTGGACTCTAGACAAAAAGCTGTTGCTTCCCAAGTATGTTTCAAAGGACTTTGAGGTGATGGATTTTGTCCAGAGAAGGGCTACAAAACTGGTGAGGGGTGTAGAAAACATGTCCTGCAAGAAGAGGCTGAAGCAACTGGGGTGGTTTAGTCTGGAGAAAAAGAGCTTTCTGAGGGATTTCATTGTTCTCTACAACAACCTGAAAGGAGATTTTTGGTGTGTTCTGCCATGTCTCAAGCAAAAACGCAAGAGGAAATAGCCTCAAATTGTGTCATGGGAGGCTCAGATTAGATATTAGAAATTTTATTTTTCTTTGGAAGAGTGATCAGGCACTGAGGCAGGTGTCCAGGGTCTCTGGAAGCATTCAAAAGGTATCTGGATGTGGCACTGGGGATATGGTTTAGGGGTGATTATGGTAGTTCTAAATTAAAGAGTGAACTGGATGATTTTCATCATGTTTGTCTCTCTTCCTGAAGGAAAGCACCTTCCTCTTTGCTGAGTACACTGAGAGGCTCACACGACAAGACTGCAGAATCTGGACCCTACACAAATACTTTCCTTTGCTTTGTCTCATGGCTGTAGTAAATTAAACAAATCCCTGTTAGCTTGGCAGTTTCACACACCAGTAATTTACAGCCACCCCTAGGGAGCATCATGCATAGCCACATTGATTTCAAGCACAGGGTCTGGGTACCCTGAAAACACACTTGCATAGGAGATAAATATATGCATGTGTTACTCCACTGGTCAGGAGCATGTGCTGATCTTGAATAGATTTAAAGAGTCTGTTGGTCACAATACAGAGAGTGGTCTAAAAAGAGGTAGCAAGGAATGAAAAATGCAATTGATTCTTCTGTAGTGCCTATTAGCTGCAAAGAGCTCATTGTTCTTCAAATGTTTATTTTGGGAGAGGAAGGAGAGTGGTGATGATATTTCAGAACCTTGGAAGACTTAGTTAGAAATGTGCATCTGAGGAATATGTACTTCTTTAGCTTGAGTCTTAAAATTATTTGTATTGCAGTGTTTATATGAGATTTTCTATTGTCAGCTATTCTAACTATGTTAAATTTGAGTCTATGTGGCATCAGAGGTTCATTTTATAATTCCCTTCTAGAAAATTTAAAACGTTAGTTAACTAACATTCTGTTAATTTCAGAGAACTGCAAGGCTGTTTTTCTTTTTATTATGTTTTTTGAGACACCAAATACAATCCCTAAATAAAGAAGAAAAAAAAAATGTGTGTGCTCATTTTTTTCTGTGGAAGTCTCTGGTACTAAACTGCACTGTTACAAACGTTTAAAGGGATGTATTTAGCTGTATTGTGTTGCATTTATCTGTGATACATATTTCTGGATTCATTGAAATATCCAGCTAAGACCCTAACCTCATGGAAATTCTGGTAAAATATGAGAAGGTAACCTGCTGGTTGTGTCAGAGCTGAGGCACCCCAGGCCCCATAAAGAGGATGGAACCCTTGTCTCCTTAAGTCCCAGAAGTGAGAAGAAAGAATGAACTGGGCTCCTGTCCCTCACAAATGGCAAAAAGTTCCTTCTCTAGGAAGGCATCTGCTGCTGGCTCACAGTTGCTTAATTCCACAACAGTCTAGCTCCAAAACTGGGAAAGGCTCTCAGCATGTCCTTTCCTATTACAGGAACTAAAAATACTTGCCACTGTTCGTGATAATTCAGGAAATAAGAATATAAAGACAAAAGTCTCATTCAAGTAGCCAGGAAAAATAAAAATGGAGTACTGGTGTGGATATAAAGAGGGGATTGTATGTTGTGTGAATTGATGTAAAGAAAGATATCCTTAATACCTGCTGCCATAAACAGAGTGATAACAAGGATCATTCCTTTCTGGGAATCTCAAATCTGACCTATAAAACACACCTAGCAGGCCATGTGCAAGAGGGAAGGTGTCCCACCCCTTCCAAAACATGCAGGAGTCTCACAGGCCAATAGCCATTTTGTCCCAGATTATATAGTCTGGAGGTGATCATCCAGCAGAATGGCTCAGTGCCGGCTATTTTAACAGATAAATAGGCAAACTGAGTTTGTAACTGGAAGAATTCATTTCTCAGGGGCTCAGTAATGGCCTCCTTTAAATTTGAATCTTGATCCAGGCTTGTGTCAAATTTAAGAGCAGCCAAGTAGCCTGGGGAGTTAGAATCAACCATTACACAGTTGCAGGTAGTGTCCCTACAACAAAAATTAGTGTGATTTGATTAGATTTGCCTAACAGCTTAGCTAGAAAGAAGAAATTGAATGCTCCTGAAGAAATTGAATAGACTTTTAAATGGAAAACAAAACTTTTTTTTTTTTTTTTTTTTTTTTTTTTTTTTTTTACTGTGCATAATTACAGGGTTTTCCTAATGTCAGTTCAGTTGCAACTCTCTTTATGAGAAAAAAAAAAAAGAAAGCAGGAAGAAAAAAAAGAGAGAATGACATTACAAAAAAAATATATTTTTTACATTTTTAAAAAGATTATTAAAGATATTTTGCAATCTTAGAGAATGATAATTCTTAGAAAAAATCACAATTTGTTTTCAAATTTACAGTAGAAATAATTTTCTTTTGCTTTCCCATCAATGATACATAACTAGTTTTCTTCAACTTTAAAATTAAAACAAAGTGTTTATTGAGATATTATTTTCTATTTCACATCATCTCATGCATTATTCTGACTCTTACTAAGATTATTTCAGTTTGGGAAAAAAATTGATGAAATATCTCTTCACTCTGACAGGACGGAAATGACGATTCATTAGGACCTTTACCTGTCTGTTTTATCTGTCCTTTCTCACTGGAAAACTAAAATTGAGGAAGTTTATGTTTAAAGAGTTGCAAATTATAAATTTAATATTAATTAGCCTCCCCTTTTTTTTTTTTAACTTGTTGTCTTTTTACAACCAAAACTCAATCAGAAACATCCGAGACACTTATCATAGTTCCCCATATGTTCAGTGGGATATTTGTTAATATCTTTGAGTGTGACCTAGAAGAGATTATTCAGGGAGGTTCTGGAGTCTCCATCATTGGATGTGATTGGATATTCAAACTCTGTCTGGACATGGCCATGAACGACCAGCTGTAGGTGAAACTGCTTGAACAGGTGAAGCTGGACCAGAGTTGCCTTCCAACATCTAATCTTCCATGATTATGATAATATAGATTGGAATAAAGGAAAATAAAAGAGTAATAATCCTTTTCCCACTCACATCCATCTTCTCCTCAGCCACACATTTCTACCTATGCAAGTAGTTGATGGAAAAAGACAAAATAAAAATGGACACTCAAAATTTTTTTTCTGTTTTGGGAAAGGAGAAATAATTCACCATGCTTTAATTTAGGAGAAAGCCTGTGCTTACTGCTATCCTTCCGTGATTAGCCTTCATACATCACTGTGACTCCACTGAATGGAGTGGAATTAAAACAGAAAAACTGGTGCAATGCACTGATAAATAAGGCCTGTATGTTTATAAGAGGAAATTTATTCAGAAATTTATTTCAGATCCTTTGGCTTTAACTATGTTGGATTTTCTCTGTAACTAATAGATTTGAGCTCTATCACCTTTGTCTTCATTCACCATTTATTACCTTTTTAGTTGCATTTGCCAATTCTTCAGTACTATTTATTAGGGAACTCTTATCATTAGTGTAGTACTCTTACTGTATCCTACAGTACCTAAAACATCTCTGAAAGATTTATTGCATACCATGGATCTACAGATAATTTAGCAGAATTATTTTTCTTTTGATTGTGGATATATATTATGCAGTTCTAAGTTTCATCTGTTCAGAGTGGTGTTTCCTACAGTACATGAGTAAACGTGTCATATTATTTCACAGTTTTGTCCAGTTGTAATATTCAACATATCCATGAGATACACTAGGGGGGATGGGACATGATTTTAAATAATATAAATGCTTAAGGGTATTACCACTTTTACAGAATGAAGTAGAAAAGCTGCAAATTATATTGAAAAGCTTAATCACTTCAAGGAAAGCTCTGATATTTATGAATATCAGAGTACTTTCCAAAAATACTTGAGGTGAAATAACAGCTATCAGGAAACTTGAAACTTGTTTTTTTTCTCTGTGTATTAGCATTTTGTCAATCCTTTACACCTGTGTTTCCACAGCCTATAGGCTCTTAATCATTTTGTTTAACATACCTTGATAGAAAATCAAGCTTTTATTCTTATGAATTCCTTCTTTCAAACATGTATATTTCTCACTCATTAATTTCCATTTTAGTAAAAGAGTATGTTCACATATACAATAAAAGCATCAATTTAATTAATTTTTAATCTTTGGAAAATTAATTATCCTTCATTCATTGTCTTGAACTTCTGTCTCTATGAATGAACGAGCAAATTATATTTCAAGTAAGCTATTGCAAGACATTTTATTTTGGCTGATCCAACCAGCCAGCACAGTTTTTTATCAGGGAGAGAACATTTCTTTCAGAGCTGAAGATACAACATGTGTTAACTCTACAGGCCTTAGAAAGGGTTATCAAGTACTAAATCCAAGGGTCTCTGATCCCTGGAAAGCTTGCAACCTGAAAGGCAAATAGGGTCTTACAAGTTAAATGAAGGGTGATGGAATTGAACCTGTAGAACAGCTGTATAGTACACCTTTCAGGACACTATTTATTTTGATATGTTACATTAATTTTGATAGGAATCACCAAAACTGTGTAACACTGAGATTTATTTACTAATCCTTAAACTTCATTTAGGTTTTTTTTTTTTTCCTAAATAATTGAGGGATGATACAACAAGAAAAGTAATAGTCTTGATATTAAAGCCTATTATTGAATTTTATTAGAATGTAAGCTGAAGTATTTAAGAGTGTTCAAAGTGTTTTTTTTTTTTTTTTTCATCATATCAAAATAATGGTGAAACATCAGATAAAGCCAGGGAATCTCAGAAAAACGGAAAGCTGGACAAGACAAACGCAGGTTCAAACCAATGTGGTTCATCAAGCGTTTTCCGTTTATTCAAGATAAGGTGGTAGTTTATATAAGCTTCCACATAGTTTACAGAAACAAAGACACTCTAATTGGTAGGCTAACATTGTTTACCTTTCCCTTAAAACGGCCTACACTTTACACCATAAAACCTATACTAATTCACACCCAGACAACTCAGTGGTCCCCACAGTACTTTAAGACTATTTTCTATCTGCGCCACAACCCTGAATTTCTAACTGCGTCAGAGGCTTTGAGGGCCCCACCAGGCCTCAATCTGAGGCCTAGCCTGGAGTAGCTCAACTTTCACAATTCATGCCCTCTTTCTCTCAAAAATGCTGTAACAATTCCCTCTTTTTCTTTTGAGCTACTCAGGCTGGAGTGAAGGCTCAATGAACTAATTTTTGCACACACTGTCTTTGACCCAGCCAGAAAAACCTGAAGAATTGAGCCAGTTATCAAATGAAGTGTCCATTTGGAGAACACTGCGTTTGGCTCGTTGAGTCTTCTGAGGCAATTCGAGAACCTGATGTATGGTGGGAGCAAAAAGCATCAACCTACCGATATAACATGGGCCTCCCCTAGCATTTTGAGGGACTGCTGACCAGGCTCGGTCCCCACAAATGAGGAAGGTTCCTGGGGGCAGTTTTCCTGCACTACCTCTTGGCGGTGTCACAGATTGAGTCGAATTGTTACAATATTCTAAATAGTTGTATTACAATGGTGATCTGGGAGACAATCAAGTGTTGTCATCTGTCAATTTTCCATTTTCTTGAGTTGGTTTGGTAGCATAAGATCCAAATATCAAACAGTAATTTCCTGGGACAGAACCCAAAAGACCAAATTCTTGAAAACTATCATCAGTAAATTTAAGGTTTTGCACAAATGCAACAGCTTGCGCTCCCAGAGTGCTATTTAAACTTAT